AGAAATAACAAAATTTATGATTTCAATAAAAAAAAAATTTAAAGAACATGTTAACAAGAAAGTGTCAAAGAGTCTCTTACATTTCTTATTTTGAAAAGATAATATGGTTTTTGCATATCAAGTTATTTCGTGTTTTCCCTTGATATCCAAAGCTACCGGTAAAATAAATCAATTCGATTAAATTCAATATAAATCGTGGAAAACAAAATGAATAACAAAAACATAACAAATCAAAATAATCAAACCTTTATTGGATTATATATATTTATCTTTTAAAAAAATAATATAATTTAAACCATTGTTTAATTTTGCATATAAAATTCTCACCGTATAAATTAAAATAGTTATCTAAAATGATAACATTTTTAAATGTCATTTTTGAATGAGAGTGATTTTAGGTTTTTTTTACCAAGAAAATTTTAAGGCATTTTTTAACTTCTTAAATCTTTTAATTTATCCACTATTAAAAAACTCTTTTAATTTATCTTTTTAATTTTATCTTTAAATTAAATTTTAATATTTTTAAAAAGAAATTATGACTAAAAAATAACCCATATCAAAATATAAATTGTTTATATAAATTTAAAATATAATTTATATGTTAAATTCTTTTATTTATTATGAAATTTATTTTAATATAATTTATATGTTCAAAAGTATTTATTTATTAAAACTTAATTATAAAAAATATACCTAATGAATTACATGGCTTAAAATATTATTATAACATGTCTTAATTATCACTTTATACTGAGTGAATAGAATTTATTTTCAAAGACTTTTTTTTGATAATTCTTTTTAGTCCCCACAAGTTAAAGAGTTTTTATAGTTATGCATTGTTTTTATATAGTTAATTAATTAGAAATTTTCTTTTTTTAAAAAAAATATAATACCTTATAATCATGGTTAAATTCTAGAGGTGTCTAAATGAATCAACTTGATTCATTTGAATTGGTTTACCATGAGTTAGTACTTTAAATGAATTAACATAAATCAATTCTCTTATAGGTGAGTTAGGAAGATCTTAACTTGGCTTGATCTAACATGAGTTGGTGGGTTGTCTCAACAGATTTTAAGAAAATAAAAAATTAATTATATGTTCCTATTTTTAATAAATAAAATAAAATAGTTACAATTTTTTTAATAAGAAATCAAGTCAATTATTGAATCAAATATAAATATAAAAGAAAATATCACTAAAAAATTCAAATGACAACTACATAAAACAAAAATATATAAATTTTTTATTCTTTTAATTATAGTAAGTTAAATAAGTTAATGTGATTTACTTGGTTTAAATTCATTTAGTTTACAAGTTAAGTGAGTCTAATTAAAATTTAGCCAAAAATCAATACTCATTTTTTTCTAACCCAATTGAGATCGTGGTGAATGAATTGATTGACTCACCAAGTTAAAACTTACTTTAACACATCTAGTTAAATAACACACTTATGTAAAAAAAATAAAAAATAAAAATAAAAAACACTTTTATGCCAACCGCGTCTCATCGGTTACCATAATGTTAAAAGCATGGTTTTATTCCCTTGCTTCCTGCTAGCGAAGCAAATGAAAGAAAAGCCGGCGAACAAATCATTTTTTAACCCTGTCATCCAGATAACATGATGTGTCTAAATTATTTGAACAAGTATCTATCTCTCTGCTAACGAATTTCGATTGTTTCTATATATAAAACTTCTAATAAATGTCTGTGTAAAAACATTTTATATAAATTAAACTGTTGTGTGAAATGGTACTACTAAGATTTGGTATGAGATCCGATGCTTGAAGAATGTATCAACATTCAGTTTCTCATAAATTACTCACCTAAATCAATTGACGTGTAGGCATTCAGAAATTCAACAACTATATGGAACTCACTATATTTGTCTTATAAGGGCACCCCAACTAATCATTTTTTTATTATACTACATACAATTATTACATGCAAATGGATGCAAAAGTTCTAAAAGTAGCATGTAGCATCACCTTATCCCACATGTTAGTTAGCTTCATGGACCATCTCTATGATTTGTCATGTGTCTTGTGGATCAACCTAAGGACTATAAATCACTGACCTCAGTAGTGGAAAAGCAAAGAGAAATGAAATTGCCTCTTTCAAGAAGTATCTGAGTGTTTATTATTTATATTATATATAGTTACTCAAGCTTCTAGGATTTCTGCCAGCTACATGAAAATGGGAAGCCAGAGAAGCTTCAAGGTATTGAGTCTTTGCTTCTTGGCATTAGTTGCATCAACTCATGCTCAACTTCAGCTCGGTTTTTATGCCAAGAGCTGCCCAAAAGCTGAGCAAATCATCTTGAACTTTGTTCATGAGCATATCCACAATGCTCCATCACTAGCAGCTGCATTAATAAGAATGCACTTCCATGATTGTTTTGTAAGGGTATGTGATTCAATCCTATGCTTTCCTTTTATTTTTTACTTAACGAAATAACAAGTAGTATGTCATATTAAGTAGCTAGTAAAACAAGTCTCTTGACATAGTGATTGTAGAACCTATTCTAAGATATAGGAAGTCGAACTGGTGCTCCCAAGATCAATCTTCGTCAATATTAAAATAATGTTTAGCAAGTAGAAATCACATCTCACGAGTGTAAATCAGTTATTGATTGTCAGATTTAAAATACTGTTTAAATCATGTCTATAGAAAAAAAAAAAAAAAAAAAAAAAAAAAGGATTAAGGAGCTAACTAACATGAAATCTTTCAGGGATGTGATGGATCAGTTCTTCTGAACTCAACGACCAAGCAGGCTGAAAAGAATGCTCCTCCAAATCTCACTGTAAGAGGCTTTGACTTCATTGACAGAATTAAGAGCCTTGTTGAGGCTGAATGTCCTGGTGTGGTCTCTTGTGCTGATATACTAACTTTAGCTGCCAGAGACTCTATTGTAGCCACAGTAAGTACTCAATTTCTGTCAAGAAAAGCTTGAGAACAAGTACAAGTTCTGCTTCATCTTTATCTCAACACTTTCTTTTGAGAACAAAAATGACCCTTTTGCTGGTTTGTGCCATTACTGACATGGGCTTTTAGGGTGGACCCTTTTGGAAAGTTCCAACAGGTCGAAGGGATGGGGTCATCTCTAACTTGGTGGAAGCCAGAAATAGC